ATAGATACTATGATTTTTGTATTAGATATAAATATTCATAAAAGATTTGAAAAGCTTGACAAAATGTAATATTTTCGATGATGCATCATATACTTAGCCTACGTAATTATGCTTTTAATCGTCGGCGTATTTATTAAACCAAACATCCGGAGGTTGCGTTAGACCTCATTTATACAGACCTGTACATATTGCTACCTGTTCGGCATGTTTATCATTATAATTATGACAATAATAATAATTATAATTTGTTTGAAGATTATTATAATACGTTTGCACTAATATACAAGGAGGTATGTTAATGTTTGTTTGTATACTCGTAGTGTATACGAACGCGATTACGACTTACGTTTAGGTGTGTTCGCATTAAAACATAATTATAACATTTGTAACACAATTGTGAATGGACTACAGGTACGAGAAATACGAGTGGATCTAATTGAATTGGCGCGTACGATGTACGGATGAGCCCGGGGCTCGGATGAAAGTCTAAACGTCAAAAAATGCAAGACAAGTATGGTGGGCGTAATGTTTTTAATGTCTAGAGTTTGTTTTGATATAGCAGCAATAATACACATGTATAATATCGTGTTTTATATAGGCATAGCAGATGGGCATTTAAAATATATTAGAAATCGCCACGCGAACGTAGTTAATATGTATTTTTAATCGTTCTTACAAAACGGCGACCACAGACGCTTATATATCGCTACATGTATATCTTTAAACGCACGCGGATATTAGTTTTTAGATTTATTGTGATTTGTGAACCCGAAAGTCTCAATTTATTGTTGTGACGCAAGTTTACATCTAGACGATATGCTTCATTAAATTATTAACATAGAAAAAAACAAATTATAATAAGTGACTTAATATAGAAAACGAAAACATATTAAACGATTTAAGAAATATAGCTTATCTCCGTCGATGTCTCTCATAAATTAAATGTTTGCATATTCAACCTAACCCAAAAAACGTTAAACGAAAATATAATTTTGTGAAATTAAATAATATTGAGTGTGTTTATTTCATTGTGAAAGCTATGATTTATGATAAAAAAAATCATCAAATCTCTTTAGTCTTCTGCACATACGTACATATTATATAAACATAGACCCCGCAAATTTCATCACGTTAATAATAACAATTATTCTAATACTACACCGTAATAACCGTATCTATATTAAGTGCAAATAGAATGTGCACAATTCGATGTACAAACATTCATTTCAAAATATATGAATAATGTGTTGGACCATTTATCATTATATACGTACTCCTCGTATTATTTGTTGTTATTTGCGAAAATTAAAACATAATAAATGTGATATCAATTTTGAGTGGGTTAGAGGTACTGGAAGAGGGAGTATATTAGTTATGAAATTCTTATTATGCACATTTAAACATATAATGAAATATTGAATTTGAAACACAATCACATACGAAATCAATATTTTTTGATATTTACTCAGATTTGAGCTTTCACTATTAGCATATTTTTTCCATGTTAGTAATATTTTATTAAAAATTATAGAGAAGTTAATAAAATGGCCAGATCTGTTTTCATATTTTATCACAAATCTAAAAAAAGAACTAGGTGAAACTTTTTAAACACTTTTATTGCACTTAAAGCTCACTTCAGTAAAAATTAAAATCGCATGACCATAACAATTTCTAAAATATTTGATAACTTATATAAAATGTTCATTAATTAATAAACATTTAAAATCTAAAAATAATTATTTGAAATAGAAAATTTCATTTAAAAAAAAAAAAATACAAAACGGTTATTTATAATAAAAAAAAAGTCGTTGTTGCACAAATTAAAAACGACTCTTCAAAATTCTGGTAAAAACGCACAGAGAATAGGTATATAATTAATGCTTCATTCTTAGAATCTAGAAATCATAACATCCCGGAAATGAGTATAATTTATTCATTAAAGTATAAAATTCATTATAGGAACCTGGTCAATTTTTCAAACAGGTTAAACGTAAGACATCCAAAATACTGTGTATTGAATAACCGAGATTTTATTCAACGATTATTTTCTGTACATTATCGTTACATATGAATATGTTTCAGAAAAAACATCTTAGTACCGGCCATTCATATATAGTATACCTTATGCCCCACTATACAATGTATAGGTATACCCAAAGTATTGTAAAATACAATTATTAGAAATAATATTTGGCATTTGATACGAAAATGAATTTTTAAAAACGTTTACCGTTAAATCGTATTTTGCTATGACAATATTTATTTCACAACTCTTTATTACGATATTATTAGGCTCGGGATGCAACCTATCTATAAAATGATATTTATATATCGCGACAGAACAATGGACAGGTATCTGGGAGATCTCAAGATCAACACGTTTGATTTTTTTTTCAGATTCGCGTTCACATGTCAAAGAATTTTTAGATTATAAGCCATATGTATACATGTGTTATATATTATGTATACCCAGTATACCTACATATTTGCACACAAGGTTTTTTGTGGCATTTTTTTTTTTGTATTTCGTACCTCAACGAAATTCGCCCGTCGTCGAACAACCGGTTTCGCTCTGACTTCTTTTATTCGATTATTCTCTTTCTTTCGATAACATATTTTTATGTAAGCGGATCTGGGCGATTCCTGCCTGCCCATAAACGATCAAACGCGATGCACGCGAATCTAAGAAATATTATACAACGGCAAGAACAGAAGTCAAATCGCGTAAAGCAAAACTGATATCGCATGTACATTCTAACCCTTTCAAACCTTGGGGTATTAAATAGCTACTTTAATTTCGAAACTCGTAGAAAAATCCTTAGAAAACATAGTCTTATGCTGTATATAATATGTATATTATACAGCTGTTTATACGTCACCTTGATGAAACAGAAATTGCGCCACATGATTCTGCAGCGGGTGAAGTGTATACCGGACACCAGATCAGGTATGATGTTACACATCATTTCATCCTGATTATTGGTAAAAGTTTTTTGTGTGATTATGTTGATAGTATCTATACTTATTTTAATGTTCACAACGAACATTATTCATTTGAATCGATATAAAATATGCAAAAACTATACATTTTTAATTATTTTTTACTCACTGTGATAAATTCATATTAAATATGTAATTCAATCAATAATTAAATACTTATCGAATTTTATAATACAACTGAAAGAATTTTTTGTGGGACACCGAGATATTGTAACGATAAAAACTTGTTTTAGAAAGAAACTATACAATTTACTTTTGAATAATAAAAAAAGTTTTTTTTTATTGAGGATAATTTAAGAGTTAATACTTATATAATTGTATTATAATTATACTATATTATATAAATACTTGTAAAAAAAAATCTGAAAAGTTATTAAATTTAGTATAGTTATTTACATTTTTCAATAAAAAAATAACAGCTTATTAATTTTTTCGAAAATTTCAGAAAGGTAAACTAAACCCAGAGTTGAAAGATAACAAATGCCAAACACTCAGACCATAAATGAGTTATAGTACCGTATTTTTAAACTAGCTTATAGTAACCAATTAGTCTAAATATTTTTTAAATTTTTAATATCACTTTTTATGCCATGTTACGAAGTACAAATATAAATAAGACATATTTATAATATGCTACACTACTACACTAGATATTATTGCAGTTATGTAAACATAAAACACGTTTTAAACATTAAAAAAAAAAACGACTGTATATAAATTGGTCACATGTTTATTTATCTATATCAAAATTAATTTTTTACGGTTACACCATTACAATATTTAAAATATTTTAACTAATTTTAATTTATCGAGTTTGTTTTAACTATATACCAGCAATTAAGTTATAGTAATAATACTGATTATAATTATATAATATGTATGCCATTTAAAATTATTGATTCAAATTTCATTGAAAAATTCGTAATGTATAAAAATTATAATTAATATCTCTTATCCGTTGTAATCATGTTAAGTAAACAATACAAATTTAGGTTGTGCCAGTGTGTCAGTATGTCTTACATTAATGTTTGTTAAAATTTCGTTTAATCTTTAATAAAAATAAAAATTAAATATCTATATAAGATATTTAACAGTACATTTCAACGGTGAATACGAATATACGATTCTTGACGTCCTTCCAAGGGCATTATTGGAGTGCAATAATGTAATCCATATGCAGTTACATCATTCTATGTAAATTTTGATTGTGAACTCCACTAAACAGGCTATAGACAAAACAAGTCTCACTATGTAAGTATAATACATATATTATCTACTTTTTTTCAGAATAAATGAATGAATGATATTTAACGATATAATATAGTGGGTAAGAGACTAAAGATTTTTCAAAACGTTAATGAAATTTTTATTAACTTAGTGTTGTAATTATTCATTTAGTAATTCACTAAATTGGTCAACGATAAAACTTAAAATCATATTATATTGTATTATTAATAAAAATTTATTTTAGTAGTCTTACGATTTTAAATTAACAGTTACTCATGTGTAATCGATTATGAAAAATAAATTTTAAAAATAGCACTAGAAATTTGTGGAATTTTATCATATATCCTTCGTTGACACAACAATGTTATGAGCAGACTCGTGTATATCGTATAATATAAGACAATTTAATAATAAAATACAATGACAACGAAGAATATTTTTATACTATACATAATAAAACAACCGAGAGAGTTGTTGAAAACGTATAAAATATAAATGGATTTTTTTTTTGTCCATTTTTTTTTCTTCTCTCCATTCTCATTTTCCCCCATCAGTACGTGACTCGGTTGCGAGTTTTCTAATAGTGAATTGTTTCATATTTTTTGTACACTGATTTATTAATATATCATATCGACGGCAGCGTATACATGATGTGTACTGTGTATAATATGCATTCTACATCTACACATAGATATATTCTAAAGCTGTGTGCGTGTGTGTGTGTGTGTGAATTATCAATAGTAATCCCGATAGTACCACCCCGTCGCACTCACCTGTCAGTAGAAATGTCAGCAACATTGTGATCTCATTGGGCTTGGTGTCGTCGTCCGGATGTCCCTGGAACAATAAATTATTATCTGATTATTATGAATGATCATACACAATATAATATATTATTTCGTTGTGCCATTATGAATTTATATATAACTAAGTGTATACAGTCACGGGATTGAGTTGTCAATGCGTGTCGGTTACGTCCGTACGCACAATAATAAGAAGCTATAAATGATCTTTATTTAATATCTTGCTTTTGATTGATCTGTTTGAAATTGTTTGCAGAAATTTTTATTTCTCTTATGCACGTGAACGCCTCACCTGTCTGTTTTCTACTCTACTCACTTTGTTCACCTCTTCGTTATTCGTTTACTTATGAACCGAGGAGAATCGGAAAATAACTGCAGTGAAAATAACATAGTTGACAACTTCAGGGAAATTCATTAAATTGTACACTTATAGTTTATCACGTTTTTGTGCAGGTAATTTTATTAAGAAAAATAAATATCAATGCAAACATTAGTGAAACACGAAATTACTATGACATGACCTAAAATAATACAAATTTGATTTTACCAACTACATATTACCTATAATTTATGAGCAAGATGGTTGTTTTAGTAAACTTAAGGGTTCTCGACAAAATATAGCTTTTTTTGAAATATGTTTTTTACATAATTTTATGTCTTTAAAAATAACATTTTTTTTACAAAAATGTTATCATTGATTCTTTTTTTTTTTTTTGTACAGCATCATAAATTTTTAATTTTATATTTTAAAGTACAATATTTTTCTGAGAATCTCCTCTGCGCTATTTCATCACTTGGTTTATCTAAACTTTAAATACTTATAAATAATTCATTTTTAGTTCAATACTCTATTTTAATTTATATATTTAAATTTTCAGAAGTAAATTTTGCTTCAGAATATAAAGTTAAAAATAAAATATGTCATTAAAAATTAATTATTATTGAAATTTATAAATAAAATATATATATATAAAAAGCAAAAAACACTATTCTATTCGAAATTGGTTGTACAATTTTATAAAAATAATTTTTAAAAAACATTTAAGATATTAAATTTAACAATTAACTATAATAATTGGATACTGACCATAAAGTCGCAAGAATGCTTAGTGAGAGAAATCAAAGATAGGACATTGGGACCAAGACAACCCAAAAAAATATAGAAAATAAAGAATTTCTTAAAACTAATATCGGTTTGTTTCTTATAATATCCCGAAAAAATATTAACAATATTACGATGTCTCATATACGTGTTATGGCTCTCGTGACATCGGACGAAACACCCGATCGTTGAAGTCTCCAGATACGTTTCGCGCTATAAAAATGAAATTACATAACGGTTCAGTATAATATCTCAACATTACCGGAACGGCTGTATATAAGCAATAAGTACCTACATATTATATTTATAAGTGCGTATGAACAGTTATTAAATCAACGAGATTCGATTAACTGCAGTTGCACACATAGAAGACTATCTGTAAGTAACATGTATATCGTTATTTCGCATAGTCTGCGTATCATCGTGACTATATATATTATATTATACAATACTATTATTGTATAAAGTATAAACGAATTATATTATGTATTATTATTATTTCTATTGTTATTGTTGTTGAACCTGACGCCCTAGTTGAGAAATCCAAGTCGTCAACGCCGTTTGTTCGTCGTGCCCGGGGCATCGGCTAAATGTTAAGTCCTCAGTTGTATAGACACATTTAATGCGGATGCAATTAACAGGCGTCATCAACTACTTAAAGAAATAGATGGCTTATAATACTGCTATAATATTGAATACTGCTGTTATAATATCGGCTGTCGCCGCTTGGAACGCGAAGCGTCTCAAATCGTTAGATTACCGAGTACCTACATACACGACTTTATACATATATATGTATACACACAAACTAACATTATTACGCGTAGATATTATTGTATTATATCGTACAGAAATGTATCCCTAGAATTTCACTGAATGACGATATGCTACATGTCGCGACGCGTCCTTGACGATCACTGAACGCCGCCACTGACAGCTGCAGCGACCTTCAATTATGTAAAATTCTATAAATCGATACGCGATGATAGAATACACTATACGTCTATATGTATAAATGTACAGTACTGTTTTTCAAGCAGAAAATTATATTTTATTTCGGTTTTAGCTGCGATCTACTAACGTCCTACGTTGACGAATATAATATACGAGTACCTACTATAGAATATCGCATTACACGCTGAAACGTATTTGTATCGTTAGCGCGTATTATATATATCGCTCTTAATCGTCACCCCCTCCCCACGATTTGTGATAAAATCATTTGCGAGTATGAATATAGCCCGATTTCGAACTTGACCCACATAGTACACTAGGACCTCACTTTTTTACCACCCCCGGGGCTCGAGAATCCGACACGGATTTTATGATATTTTGTCGACGATCAGACATAGCACATAATATATATATTATAATATTATTTTTATATAACATATACCTATACATATATATATTATATTACACACGCCGCAGACGGCCGGATCGGTCGTGACCCATTCGGTGTATTGAACGCGGCAGAAGAAAGTTTTCGCTGCGAATCGTCACGTTGATGATTTATGGACAGGTTTTCGCGGAGAATCCTAATTATATGTATCGACCTGTCATGACTCGAACGCGGGCACAACGTGCACCGATCCCCGGCGAGTCCGTGCGGGGTCCACGCCGCGTCGGCAGAAGACTCTAAAGCCCTTATTATAAAATATATCGTAATGTCATAATAATTATTATTCATCGTCTGTCTGCAACACGGTAAAAGGCGCACGGGTATACTCGTAACATCCTGAACACGCAGGTGGCCAAGATTGTTGCAGTTATTATATTATACGATATGATCACTTTGTGCGAGAAAAACAACGACGACGGCACGGTATAATACCTCGGCTATTAAAAGTACCGACCGTGTATTATGCAGACAGCTATGCGAATACAAATTATTAGAATCGCTTATAATAACATAAATATCACGAAGAGTATATTATCATATCGTATATAATGTGTATACAATAGTCTATAATACACGATATCGCAGAATCCAACAATGAATAGCAGTAATAGCACATTGTCGATATCGAAATATTTTGGACAAATCTTTTAAGTTAAACTTTGTAAAATACACGAAATATCCTGTAGATAATATATAGAACAAGTTTTGGTTTATCGGTTTTTAGTTATCGTATTTTTTTTTTTTTTTTTTTAATGTGTTAATGGGTATTTTCTTAATCGATATAGACCTACATCGGTTACATCAATGTAATAAGCTATACTATTCGAGACAAATTAAAAATCGATTAAACCTACTTAAGCGTATTGTGAAATCATGCAATTCATTTTTATATGAGCAAACCGAAATTCATCTTGCAGTGATTATTTTAATATGTTTAAAAGACAAATGTTGTAGAAAAATATTAAAAACCGTTGTACCTACCTATAATTTATATAGTCAGTGCAAACGAACTATGCTTGTGTTGAATTTATTATGTATTACAACATTTACATTTATACACTCACTTAACTAGAAAAAACTTATATTCCTCGTTATTAATTTTTTACAATAGTATTAGTAAAATAATGATAACTATTACAGGTATTTATTTTATAATATTTGTAATTATAGTTGTATTAAACATGGGTAAGTATACAATGTACAATACATTTAAAAATTAAGATATAACGTGTAAGTTCAAGTTGTTCAACCCACAAACAATTGAAGTATAAAATATATGAAAATACATTGATCACACTCACTCTAGTCTGCAGAATGTAGCTTGTAATCACAGTAGTTATAAGTCGTATTTGTATATGATATAGTAACACATTTAAAATATATTACTTTGATACATAGAAACTGACAACAGCGCATACAATTTTGTTATGTTGTATTTCGATTATGTCATATATATATTAATAATAATGTATAGAAAAAAGATCAAATACTTGAATGCACATTTGTATATATAGTAAAAATCCTAATTTTACGGCTATTGTAAACAGTTTTTCTACAAGACCATTACTATATATAATGCTATGCCAATATATAAGTATAATATTTTATCTAATTGAATAAATATCCGTGTTCGCATTCTATTTATAATATTATATAACGAATAAGCATTTGATAAATATAGAAGTAGAGTTATTAAAAAATAGTAAAAATTATTGTGTCATTAACTTGTGTATATAAACGCATGTTATCTAATAATTTAAGTTCGATTAACTTTATAATTATTATACACTTTTATAATTTATCATGACTTAAAAAAACTATTGTGCTTAAACGTTTTAGGTATTCAAAGCTATAATTTTACAAAATTGCACAAGTTTATAAGTTAATTTTTCGTTATTATCAATAGTATTTTTTAATTAAATTTAATAACAATTGATTTTTCTAAAAATCTGTGAGTAACAAATTTCTCATAAGTTTCAAGCGTTAAACGAATCATTATGTACAATATATTTTTGTATCTATATAACTGTGAATCATAAAAATTAATATTCTGAACAATATAAACATATGATAAGCATATTTTAGTATATTATTTAATCGTTCTACTAAATTCTACGAATGAAAATAATTTTTCATAGTTATACACTTATACAATTTGTAGAACTGTATAGATAGTAGATACTGTTATGAAACCATTAGATTTATTCTACCCGTCATAATTTCTATTTGCCCTATCATTAATTTAAGAACATAAACATAATATCATCACGTTTTCTCTTCGGACATGTTTCATTAATTATATCATGTATATCGATTATATATATTTATAAAATAATTATGTCAAATCAGAACGATTTCGTAACAATGACAAATTATTATGATTTGTCTATGATATTCAAATGTCCCGCCTTAAAACTTTTTTGTTTGTATTAATTTTACTCTTCTCCAATGACATAACATACAATCATGATTAGTTATAAATTCACAAATATGATTTTTAAAACAATAATTAAACTTATCTGAGAAATTT